TTGTACAGCCCTTATGCTTCAGTGTTCTATGACTGAGGGCAACAGAACCCAACTGCCTTTAATTAAAATCACTTCAACTTATCCCCATTAACTATGATTGATGCACCAACCAGAGAATAAGTGCATTAATGCTATAATTATCTGTTGAGGATGTTTTATTGATTCTGCAATGATATTCTAGTCAGTTTGTATTATTTAGTTTCTGACTTAAATCAGAAAGAAATGGCTATTGGTGAAGAAATTAATCATCTAAATCAAATTGTCATTGATGCTTTTAGAAATAAAATTCTAGAATAGGCTTAGCCGAATCTCTTTCTGGCTGGCGTTGCTTGCCGTGATGATGGATGGTTTGGGCTGGGGAGAAGGCTTCGGTTTTGCGGCTCCGAGGCCACAGGTGAAGCAGCAAGCCTTCTTCGGGTTTTTGTAGAATTCTTTCCTCCGGTTTGGTCTTCTGGAATCTACTCTCCCATTTTCTGGAATCCATTCTTCAAATCAAGGGTCAGTGGATGACCCTAAGGCAAGTCTAGTCGTAGCCTTCACAAGCTTTTGTGTCCTCAAGAGCTTGTTTGTCTGAGTTATGGAATCCAGGGGACAACAGGGGACAGCGAGAACCTCCGATCTGAAATCTGTGTGAGAATTGTTTCGGTTGCATGTGACAGAAAAGCCAACGCAAACAGAACCTTGCAAAAAGAGGAATCTGGCTCTCACAGCCCAAATGTCCAGGGGAGGATCTGTTTTCTCTATGGTTTGGTTGAAGTTCAAGAGCTATCACAAGACCTGGCTTCTCTGTGTCTCGGGTCACTTTTCCTTGACATCAGAACCTTATATTCAAGCTCTGTGGTGGCAAGAAAAGAGGTAGCCGCTCCATGATCCCTCATTCCAGCTTCACACCCTGTGGGGAAGCTTATGTCTTTCTCTCCCAGAGACCCAGATGTGCTCCACGCCTTTCGGGCTCCGGTTCCGCTGTGGCTGTCTGGCTCTGCTGGACTCCTTGCCATGTATCTTCTCACTCAGGCTCACACACAGCCTCCATGGGCGGTGGGAACCTTCTGAGGGCAGACAGGAAGAGCAGGAAATGGAGATGACACTATCCATTCAAAACTTCTGCCTTAGAGGTGAATGTCAGGATTGCTCATTTCCTGTTGGCTAAAGTCAGTCCCACGGCGACACCATGGGGGTTAAGGAGTATCCTTTCCTATAGAGGTAGAGGTGAGTACTTGTAAATGCTAATAGTATCACCATGACTTCCAGTCTAGACTGGCTGAGAAAAATGAAAAGAAAAATTGGGGGGGGGGAGGATTTTCTAGAAGAATAGTAAAGACTAGACAACCTCTGGATACATTATGATCCCTCCATCCATTTTTTTTTTAAATCTCTCTATTGCCTGCGATACCCTCTACCCTCTCCCCCTCAATAAAGGGGAACTCATAACTTGCAGAGAGGACCTATTCTATCTGTTGACCACTCTGCCACCCTTCCAGAAATTTAAAAAAAAAAAAAGATCATGAAAAAGTTTTCTTTAAGCTTAAGATACCACTATGAAAAAGGGAGTGTTGAAGAAATAAAGATCTCATGGCACACTTTGGGGGTGAGCTTTCTTGAAAGGAAAAGGAAAGGAAGAAACAGGTATGAAAGTCTGAAGCAAAACAGAAAACCATTCTCTCAAGATCTCTTCATTCTAATATAGGCAAAGGAACGGCAAGGTCCTGCCACCCAGTGCATCTTTTACACAGGGTGATGCTGTGGTCCTGGGCAAAGGAAGGTCCCTGGTTAGGGTAGAGGGCAGCATCCTTGATAAACGGCAACACGACTTCTCTTTCATGTGTCTTTGAATGAACTATTTACTTACACTGGCTTCTAATTTACTGGTCAACAATTAAGAGCCAGCTAACAGGCCAACAAACTGGCATGATGCACCCAATTATTTTCTGAAAAATGTATTTCTATGATTGGGGCTTTTAATTGCAACTTAAATCAAATGCTCATGAGCCCAGTTGCCATCGAGGGAATGAGACCAGCTAATGAAATAATCAGGGCTCTGACTCCAATTCAGAGGTAAAGGGACACAGGGAAAGGAGATTATTCTTTTGTTTTATTTCCTTTCCTCTTTTTTTTTTTTTAAATTGCTTTTGAAGACGATGATGCCATAAATCCCACTCCAAGGCACGAATGTTACAAAATGGGCAGCTTGTTTTCATCAGACCACAAATGGAGCAGGACCTTGTTTTGCATCCCAGGATTCACTCCCAGCTTTGCCTGCTTGCATTCGCGTGGGTATGGAGGTTCCCACTCCCATGCCTTTGGGATTTGCATTCACCAGTGGGTTCCCCTCTCTGAATGCCTTCACCTGCTGACCCTAGACTGGAGGAGAAGCTCACTCTCTCACACAGTCACATGGGAGAGGCGCATGTGTCCCTGGGTCTGATTCATTTATGCAGATGTGGCGTAAGCCCAGAGCCCAGAGCCACAGGCATCTCTCTCTCCACAAACTCGTGGTACTTAATTCAGATTAATTCCCTCTTATGAAGAGCCAATTTGCCAATTATCCCTGAAATTTTTGATTAGGTGCCTTTTACCTAAGATACTGTGCCATGGGCTATGGGCTTCTGAAGTTCATTTAGCTCTCTCTGAAAGATGGGAGGGGTGCTGGCAGAGAATCAAACGCTCTACCATTTTTAGATATAAGCGAGTCTTTTTTCCTTGAGGTTCCATATACCTTTGGTTTGCATCTGGACAATGTGAATTTAAAACAGCTACAGTAACAACCATAATAGCTACAGTTTCCCCCGTGAAGTGTCCATCTTTCCTAGCTGCCAATTAGAATCACCCTGGGAGTCTTAAAACATACTGATGCCCAGGATCCCACTCTCAGAAATTCCAGTTTCATGGGCCTTCGTTGGGACCCAGGCATTAATATTTTTTAAAAGCTCCCTAGATGACTCTCATGCACACCCAGAGTTAGAAAGTGTTCCTCCAATGTGCCAGAAACCGTGCAAAGAGACTTGTACCTACAAGAAATGGATTTAGGTGTGTATTATTATTTCCATTTTAATAGACAAATTATGCACAGAAGGGTTTAGTAATTTGTCCCAAATCAGCCAGGTAATAGGGAGTGATGACAGGTTATTTGGTAGGCAGTGAGGAGATGTATGGGCACAGATGTGTGAATTGTTTGAAATTTAAAGACCAGAGGCATGAGGAAGCTGGTGAGCAGCAGCCTCCTCTCACACCCAGCCCTGGCGGGAGGTTCTTCACAAGGGGACACACCTAGAGAAATGAGGATGCACACGGCACCTTCAGCTTGAGAAAAGGGAGGGGATTTTACCTGGTCACCCTAAAGAACAGGTGGCCCAGGAATCAGAGGTGCCTGAAGAGAAATCAGCTGGCCTTTTGGTTCCATTCCCAAGTCCTCCATCTCTTTCATTTTTATCAGCTAGCCACCATTTTTCTGCTGCTGTCTTCTAGAGAAAGAAGCTCTCCTATTCTTGCCATTAGGATCCCACAAATAGTTGGAAGAGAAATCCAATGGTGACAGGGAGAAGACATAGTTACGGGGAAGAAAGATGGCTTGGTGGCCTGGGAGGTGGGTTTCAGGGAGGCATTGTTGGCAAGTGGGGCATGACAGGTGTTGTGTGGAATCTGAGTTGACCTGAAAACCAGCTATAGAGCCCACCACCAAGTTTGGCCAGAGAAGAGATCAGTTGCCATAGCATCTTACCTGTCGCGGACCAGTGGGCCAGCACCAGCCGACTTTTGCATTGTCTCTCATTTATGTTCAGTGCTCATCACTGCCATTTCTTTCCCATCTGTTTTCCTGCCATGTTTGGCTGTTGCAAGGATGCCCGTATCTTTTAGCGACATCTGGGCCGTGGATGTGGGAGAGGAGCAGAAGCAGATGGGAATGATTATTTTGCCAGTGTCCCTCTTCTGTTCTTCTTGTTCCACATGCTTGTTCCACATCTGGGGTGTGGGGAGCCAGTGGTTCTAGAATCTTTTACCTGTTTAGTTTATTGCTGGACCTCCAGTATAATGCCTGGTATACAATGGGTGCTTAACAGATGTTTAAATAAATGAAGTGCAAGAAAAACAGGACAAGCACAGAGTCACTGACGTGGACTATGAACAGGGTGAGGCCAAGAGAAACAATTTCTTCTAGGTCCTCTCCACTAGGGTGATAGAGTCATGGTCTAAGCGAGACAAAGTATCAGGATGAATGTCTCAACTTCTATCCTCCATCATTTCCTCCATCCAATTACAAGTGAGATGAATAATGTGTGTGGGGGGGTGTCAATGTGATTCAGTTTCTTAGTGTATAATGGGGACGTTTTATGTCCCCAAAAGTTATGGGGGATTAAAAAAAGTAACACATATAATATGTACATATGCGTTGAGCCTAGTAAATACTTAACAATAATAACCACCAAGAAGTAAGATGTCCCTTGCCCCATCAGCCCTGCATATTAAAGATCGTTCATCTATGACTTTTTGGTTAGATAGTTGCATATCTTCCAAATCCCCTTTTCTCCCATCTACCATCCAATTTTTGTTTTATTCAGATAACTGCATTTAATTCTTACTTTTCAGAGTCTGAGCTAGATTCTGGTGATATCCTAATAAAGAGGACAGAGTGTTCTCTGATGCCAGTACACTTGGTGCTTCAATCAGGGAGGACAGAGTCCACATCCTCTCTGGTTGGTCTTCCTGTTGCACAATCTATAATGACAGTGACTTGACCTAGCTTTATTGTGGGCATCCACAGTAGGTTAGATGAAGAGCTGTTGTTCCCACAACTGGAGTGCTCTTCCTGTAGGGCCTTATTGGGCTCACACTTCTTCCCTCATAACTCTGCCCCAATCATGCCCCAACCTATTCTATTTTCTTCATAGCACTTATCAATTTTTGTGCAAAATTATTTTATTCATCTAATTATTTGTTCCTCGTCTCTCTCGCCTTCTGGAATGTAACCTCTGTGATGTCAGCACTCTCTTTTCATGGTCAGCACACCCATGGTGCCTAGCAGGGGGCTGGCAGATTGTAGTTCCTGGATACACGTCTGCCTAGACACCTAGAGCCTCCTTTGGGCATCTCCCAGCACTCCTGGAAGGTGGGATTTTTGGTTGCAAGTTGATAAGGGATTCATCTGACAATAGAGTCAAAGAAATTAGCCATCACCAGCAGAGTTGACAGTGCCCTTTTAAGAGCTGGCATGGAGCATTTGATAAAAATACAGTGAGAGATCAGAGCACAGTGAATCATATTTGGGAGGAAAATCTCTTTTGAAAAGCCCAGGGTAGGTCATGTTTTTTTCATGCTTGTCAACTTGGCTGAATAATTTGCTTAAAATAAACGGACGAGAATGGTAAGTTGCTATGTAAGGGGAACCAGACAGACTCCTGGCTCCATGCGCAACATGTCTCAGCCTCTAAAGAGTCTGGCTGGGGTGGTGGTGAGCTGTGTGTGTGTGTGTGTGTGTGTGTGTGTGTTGGGGGGAGGAGATGGTTTGTGCATTTAGTCAGGTTCAATGTCTTCTTGGCGTCCGTGCAAGTTTTCTGGGCCTCAGCACATTAGCCAATTTCCAATGCAAACAGATTTGATCCATCACCGAGGCTGAAAAAAAGCCCCACATCTATGATGTGTCAGGTTCTCAAACATGCGCCAAATGAGTTAATATCTTCTCATTGTCATCTTTATTAAGCCTTTGTTAAGCCAATCTGGGCTAATGATATGTCTCTGTCAGAGGTCTTTTAATAAAGTAAGTGTTCTTTTTTGATAACCTCTCCAGGGAGAACACTGTGGCTTTCAAAGTGCAAGAAACTGCAATGTCCAAAATGTAAGTGACTAGGCTAATCCCCGTAGCGTTGGGTCTGGGATTTGCATCGCACACCCAGGGAACCACTCAATATTTGTGGTGCAGGCTTTGAAGGCCATATGCACAGAAAGCGAGAATTGGATGTCCTTTAGGCCACCGAGGGACAGGATGTTTTGGTGCCTGGGTCAATGCAGGCATGCTGCCAATCACACCACCATGGGAGAGGCAGTTCTCAACTTAGCGCCAAAGCCATGGCACGGGGACAAATGTAGAAAAACCACACAGCCTGGCTCAGTTCTCTCTGCCCCCACCTGTCTACAAATAAGGATGGAGGGTTCAGGGAAACCCACATTGGTTTATTGGCAGTTTGAAGCTTGCTCACCAGGCCTGCCCTGCCAAGGCAAAACCCAAATGCCAAAATCATCTCTCCTTCCTCCTTTTGTCAAAAATCTCTTTGTTGTCACCTAACCATTTTGCTGTAAGGAGCTAATAAAATAATTTATACTAAAGAAGTAATGACTTAGGTAGTAAGTAGCTCTTAAGATGGCATCCTTTGATTCCTGCCTCCTGTACCCACAGCCTTGGAGAGCCCTGCCCCCTGAGTAACTTCCTTCTAGGCAACAGAGTATCTCAATATTAAGGAGGTGTCACTTCTGTGATTAGATTACTAAAGATCACTATGACGTCTGTCTTGCCAGCAGACTCACTCTATATTGCTTTCTGAGCTTGCACACTTTTGGTGACTTGAGTGTGCCAGTTGGAGAGGCCCACCTGAGGAGGGAGCTGAGGTCAATGTAGGAGTAACAGCTGCAGGAAGCAGAAGTTTTCAGTTCAATCAACCTCAAGGAACTAAATCTAACCAATCACCATATGACTTTGGAAGCAGATTTTCCCCAGATGAGCCTTCAGATAAGACCACAGCCCAGAGTGACAACTTGATTGCAGCCTTCCAAGACCTTGAAGCAGGCTGTGCTTAGCCTAGCTAAGGTGGGCCTGGATTCCTGGTTCACAAGAACTGTGAGATAAAGTATGTTGTTTTAAGTCATTCATTTTGCAGTAATTTGTTGTGTAACAATAATAACTTGTACAACTGATAAAGATTTAGCGAGCTTTATTTTCTGGGGGAATGGTCTATGATCACAGGCTATTACACCTTAACCAGACAAATGCATTTCTTATACTGGGGCACAGTGGTGGGCCGGTTGGGCAATACTGTAGGTACATGGAATATCGATAGGGACAGGTTTCTAGAGCTTGATTTTGAGGATTGCCAAAAAAGTACAACTTCCTTCGATTGTGTAGATCTTTGTTTCTTGGTTGTGTCTGATGGTCTGACTGGTGTCACCATGGTACTCTCATCCTGTTTTGCAGAGGCAGGACAAAGCTCCATTCCTGGGTTTTCCTGCCAATAGCTACTTGAATGGCTTCCTATCCATTTGTTCGGCAATTACCAATCTGTGGCCTCCCTCTTTTCCTTAAAAATTAACGTTCCTTCAAAATGGGAAGGTACATTCTGCCAAACTATATATCAAAGCATTTAAGAACCTTGTCTTTGGAGCCTCACTTTGTGCCTCTCCCCTTTCTAATCATGTGAGATAAGCTCTCATTATCTCAGTTTCCTCATTGCAGAAAGGTTAGGATCATGCCAATCTCCATATGGTTATTATAAAGATGAATTGTAAATCCCTTAGAACTCTGTCTTGAGTACTTAGTGAACGCTAACTAATGAGTGAGCATTCAATAAGTGTTAGGGATTATGATGGCTTTAACCAATTTTCTCCCGAAACGCTTGATTGTCCCCGAATCTCTGACAGTAGAATATAAATTCTGCCAATGGACCAATATCTTTGTCACAGCTTTTTTCTGGAGTTTAAGATGTGCCTGCGTCCCAAGGTGGCCAACTCCTTCCAGAACACCCTGCTTTTCTTCTTCGTGGCTGTCAGGAGAACTGGGACCTCCTCCTAGCTCTACCTCCTGTCCTTGTGAACCTTAGTTTCCCCATCTGTGAGTTCAGGCTGAGAACAGCTCAACAATCCTTAAAGGGGCTGTGTTAAGAGCCACAGGTGTGAGAAGCTGAAGAGCACTGGAGATTCTCTGACACTCCAAAATGAAGTTAGAAAGGAAACTCAGAGAATGAGGCCAGAGCTTGGGGAAACCTCAAGGAGGAGAAGTAGAGAAGTGAAAAAGGAAATACCAGACCCTGGGATTCTCATCTCAACCCCCAGAAAGCATGATGGCTGCCATCTCCCTGCAGGATGGCAGGTGCTTGAGGCAGAGTCAAGCATAGAGACCAGGTCGCCTGAGAGATAAAGACTTGGCTGCTGGGCCTTCTACCCTGGACTTGGGTCAGGTTCCAGCCATGCTAAAGCCACACTATGATTTTTTAATTTTTAAATTTGTTTTAATTAGTAATACATCAGAGTAGAATGCATCTATGCACTTTGATATATCACACAGAGATGGGATTCAATTTCTCATTTTTCTGAGTGTACATGTTGCAGAATCATATTGGTCAGGTAGTCACATATATTCATACAGTAATCATGTCTGTTTTGTACTCTTTCCTGTCCCCTCACACTGTGATTTTCATTTCAGCAGGAGCCTCTAGGTGTCAGAGGCCTGGGCCCAGAGGTGAACTGGGCAGATTCATCCAGTCTTGTTCTAGACAAGGGAGGAATAGGGCAGTCCTGCTAACCGTAACACCAAGGCCGTTATCAGGCATGCCTCAAAATGGGTTAATGAGTAGATATTTTGGTGGTGACATGTACTTAGCCTTATTACTGGGAGCTAGTGCCTCAGAACCTGGGCTTTCTGGGTGACCGTCCAAGGTCAGGATGCCCTGGGAGGCCCTGTTGAGGTCTGACAGGGTATCTCCTGGGTACCTGTGGGGATCTCAGGCAGACCCTGTGATTCTGCCCTAGCAACTGTCACACTGAATATGAATAATACCATGTGACCTTCCAGAGACAGAACAAGTATCCTGGGAGTCGGGGGAAGGTCTTGGTTGGTTCATGTGGATCCTCAGTGCCTGGGGCTGGAAGCAGGTCAGGACTAAATGAGAAATTAGATAAACAAGTAAATGAACAAATGCAAAGAAGTAGTCCATCCCAATTATTCATTAATCCTGCTGAAAGACAGCTTAGGTAATCTGCAAGCTGGGAGACTCAGCCTCCTGCATTGTCCTGGGCCGGTCACTTCTATTTCTTTGATCTTGATTTTGTCCTCTGTAAGAAAAGGCCAAATAAGGTTGAATCTCAAACTGTGGGACCCACAGGCCACATCAGGTCATAAAGGAGTTTTGTTTGGCCCTCACTGAATTTTAAACATATAAAATTAGAATGTATTTAGGCAGGGCACCCACACCACCCCGTTCAGTGGCCTGCAGTAGCACCTCTGGCTGGTCCTGGGTCCACTATGCATGTTTACATGAGCGGCTTTGGCCCCCAAGGACATTCGAATCTGCTAACTCTGGCATCAGAAATCTTAGGGGCTCTTTATTTGACATACTGGGATTCTATGAAGAGGGTTAATAAATGGAATAAAATGGGGGTGGGGAGAGCAGAGGGAGGGAAAAGTCAAAAGAGAAAAGGGGCGAGAATAACAGGTGTGTTAGTCAGTCTTTGGTCTCTGTGAGCAAAATGCCTGATAAGAGCAACTTAGAGGAGGAAAAGTTTATCTTGGTTCATGGTCTCAGAGGTTTTGGTCCATGGTCAGCTGACTCCATAGCTCTGGGCCTGAGGTGAGGCAGAAGAGTGAGGCAGAGGAAATCTGCTCAGCTCCTACCAGCTGGGAAGCACAGAGAGTGGGCAAAAAGCCAGGGATGAGATATAATACCCAAGGGTAGGCCACCAGTTGCACAGTTACCAGCCAGGAGTCCATCCCAATTATTAATTAATCCATCCAATGGGTTAATCCACCAGTGAAGTTACAGCTCTCATAATCTAATCATTTCACCTCCGATGATTCCTGTACTGCCTAACCCATCAGCTTTTTCGTGGGTGGTGGGGGGGAGTACTCATATCCAAATCTGCATAAGGACTCAACCTCCTTTGAGGGCCAGCAACCCCTTCCAATCCGAGTCACTGTGGGGAGTGGCACAGCTTGCCTCTGGAGCTCCTCGTAGCTGCTAAAGGGATCCAGGTAATTTCACACCCCCAAACCCAGGAGGGGCTCCAGGCGGAAAGCAGCAGAGCCCAGAGGTTCTGTGCCTCTGGCTTGCAGTGCTGAATTATTAATGTTCATTTCAGTTATCCTTCGGTTCAGCAGAAATATGACAAAGCAATCTCAGATAATGAAATCACCCACAAGTTCTGCTGTTCACAGCAGGTTTTTCAGGGGGCAAATTTTGCCCCCACCTTCACAGCGCTGATTGAGTTATGTGTTTATGGGTGGGGGTGCAATGCCCGTGTTATTGATCAGTGTGTAGTACATAGATTAGAGTGACCTGAGGACCTTTCTCTCAGCAGGTCAGTGACTGCTCTTGGCCAGCAAGCGGAAGAGGGACCTCTGCAGAACAAACAGCTGTCATTTCTGAGGGGGTATCTTGGGGATGTCAAGAGGCCACGGAGCCCCTCCCAGCCTGAAAAATCTTCATTTTTTCTCCATACTTTTCTCAATCTACCTGTCACTGAGTCTTCACCATTTGAGTGGCAGCTAAGAACTCATCTAAGCTTTAATAAAGGGAAGGGACTTTCTGCTGTCTTTTCAACTCTTGCCTTCTCTCCTCTCTGCCATCTCTCTGTTGACCACTTAATGGTAATTTTTTTTTTCATTATCTAAGCAATTAGAAAACTAAAATTAACAATCAATCACTTGGAAACTCCAGGAACACAGATCAGATATTTGATATCAGATATCAGAGGGCCAAATCTGACACTCAAAAGACATATTTTGCTTCTTTCGTATCTGAACAGATAAAGTGGATTGGAGACACTCACTTTAGTTGCCTACATTTAAAAATTGGGAATATCACATGAAGGTCCTGAGGGATTGTCCTTCTGAAATACCAGAACATCGAGATGTCCCAAGCCCACAGGGTAACAATTGTCCTGTGATGAAGTGTCAGTGTCAGGGTGATTTATGTTCAGTTCTTTGAACCCTGGCACTCGATGCAGGCTGATACAAACCAGAAGTGGGTGAACTAGCATAGGCCAGTTCCTGGTGCTACAAAGAAGGCAAATGATCTTGGAGGATTCTGCCATAAAGATAAATTAAATTCACATATTATTTTTTTCTTAAGGTATTTGTCTTTAATACTTTGGTAATTTAACAACTAGGTCACAGATCCCCAATTACTCTAATCTTATGCCTTTGTAGAAGATTAAAAAAAAACCCCACCCAAAGAATAAAAAGTATTTTCTAGCTACAGTAGAGTGACATGACCAATGTCAACCTGGGGTGTGTGGAGAGGGGTGTAGGATCAAGCTGGGAGTAGATGTGGTGTGCAGCAGATGAATATACTCAAACGAGCTTTTGTGGGCGGGTACTGTGGTGCCCCTGCACTAATGGTGGCACTGAGTAACACTGGAACTGTAGCTGTTGGGCCACCTGTGGGCTCATCTTCGGAAGTTGTGCTTTGTGCCATTCAGGTTGGATTTGGGGATCTTCTCCGCCCTCCTGCGCATCCCTTAACAAGCCCTGGGGACTCAGTCACGGGACTTTCTCTTCTTCAGATTCCGCTTGTCCTCTAGGCTGGGGTACCCCCCCCAGGAGCTGTTCTGAGCCCCAACACGTCTCTGCCTGGAGCCAGGGCTGAGTAGTTCCATGGCCTCGAAGCCAGGCTCGTGCATTACCAGGTCTGCCCTCACCTGTGGAATGAGAAGATAACATGACAATCAATACATCAATGTCATCCTTTTAAAAACTCGGGACAGAACTGGACATGGTGGCCTCTGCTGTTTGTCCCAACTACTCAGAGGCTAGGATAGGAGGATGGTTTGAGCCCAAGAGTTTGGGACCAGCCTGGGTAACACAGTAAGACTCTGTTTAAACAAAAAACAAACAAACAAAAAAAGACAACTCAGTATTGTGTCCTGGGCTCCCTAGCTTTTGTTGCTCTAAAAATGGCTCCGATGAAGCAATCAAACGTATACAAAGAGGAGAAGAAAAGCCAACAGTCTGACTGTCTGTCTGTCTGTCTGTCTGTCTCTCTCTCTCTCTCTCTCTC